CCCGCCGAACAGTTTAGCTACTTGTGAAGTCGCGTAGAAAAGTTTCCTTTAAGGGAGATTGAAACTGAGTGTTGCACCAAATCGCCAACCTGAATGTTGAATATATAGAGTGGCTCAAAGATGCCATTATGATTTTCTCAGTTTAAATGTACTTGGCCCTAAAGACTAGCAAGATTTAGGGCAAAATAATCAACTTTTCAACTCTTTGTGGCTCAGAGAATAATTTCGCGTGAATAAACGGGTAGTTGGATAAAAAGCTGAAGAGAAAAACACTTAATACTGATGGGTTTTGCCTGGTAAAACCTCGAACGGGACACTTCTGGCAAGCTGTGAAAGCATCGTAAAAATAAATATTAAATAAAAAATATAAATTGAAAAACGTTAACACTTGCGGAGATCCAGAGTCGTACGGTTTCGAAGATCTGTAAGATCCAGCATGTACGAGTTAAAAAGAAACCAGTTTTAGCACATTTGGAATCGTTCAAACAGCAAAGGCATCTGCCTTGATTGTCATTAAGTGATTTTTAAATAAAATTAAAGCTCTCTCGCTGCCTAATCGTACCTCGAAATTAACCTAAAGATGTTTCTGCTATGGCCCATAATCGTGAACTATATCCATCATCCTCTGTCGATTCTCATCGGACCTACAGAGAGGCAAAAAGTGAACATCAAGATTGGGTGTAAAGTGAAAGCAAAATGAGGGTCTTACATGTGTTGCTGTTGCTGCTGCAACTGGAAGGTGTCGAGGTGTTTGTTGATCTCCCGATGGACATGCTCGGGCAACACGCCCACATTGGAGAACAAACTCCGCAAGACGTTCAACTCCTCCGTGAGCAGCTCTATTCGCTTCTGAAGTCTTTCGTTCTCTTTCATCAAAATCTTCACTTTCTCCTCGGTCTCTCGGGTGCGCACTTTGGCCTTCTCCCGGCTCTTTCGCACCGCGATATTGTTCCTCTCCCTTCGGCGCCTGTACTCGTCGCTATTCTTATCACAGGGTTTCATGTTCTTCCGCGAAACATGCTGATTCAGCAACGACGCCTTGTTCTTCATCGCATTCATGTTTATTTGGTGATGTATGACTGGACTGGGGCTCAGAGTGGTGAAGGTGGCATTGGGATTTGGAGGATACGTTCCTGGCATGTAACTGTTCGGCAGCAGGCACGCGGTCTGTCTTCGGTATTCTTCCTGATGATCGACCGGTTCTTCTTTGATACTAGGAACATCGCTACCCACCGAACTGTTTGAGTCACTGTTTGAGTTCTGAGTGCCCGCATACGTTGCGCCACTGTGCACCGGCTGGGGCATGTAGGCCAGCGTCGTCCGGGGGTAGTTATTGCTTTGCACCCCCATCACCTGCCTGCTGTGCAAGTTCTGCAGATGTTTGCCCTGCTGGCTCTGCAGGATGTCCGTAAACAGTCCGTCACTAAACTGCGAATCGTCAATTAAGTTCTGAAGATCCAGCGATATTTCCGGGGTGTTCAGGTCGCTGATGTCCCCATGCTGCTGGTACTGCGCCAGCTGGTGCTGCTTCAGAAGAGCCGCCGTCTGCTTGGAGTTGCCGTTGTTGTTGTTAAGGGTGGTGAGACTGTTGTTGTTATTGTTCATAATAACCGATTTTTTCGCCTCGTTGCTGATCACGTTGTTATTTTGGCCGTGCTGTTGATTGTCGTACATCTGAGGCGAATCCATCTTCGATATCAACTTTCACTCAGTACTGGGTCCACTTTCACTTTGCCGAAATTTTCGTCCATATAGCGGGCACTTTCCAACCGGGCGCAGTTCAGCAATTCAGCACGAGGAAAAAAACCATTTTGTCTGATTTAATTCGCGGCCGGGAAATTCGAACACCAACTTGACGGGGAAAAGAGCGGAGCTTCCTGGGTACCACACGAACGTGCGCTCGCCCAACTATCCTGAATACTGCTGAGTGTTTTTCTCAAACGCGCGATTCCTGCGACTAAGTCCGATTTTTAGTACGACATGCGCGACTGTTTGGTACCGCCTGCGTTGACGCGCTTTTTGAAAGTGAAACACCGGAGCCAAGATTTCATGCTTATAACAATCAGTTTGACGTAACGCTTTTCGTACGGTTCGGATCAATGCGATGACAGAAAATGCATTACCAGTTGACGACGCTCTTTCCACCAAACCTCCATTCTACGCTCGTACTCCATTAACTGTTATCTGCAAACAGCTTTGGAGTGACGCTTCGCTACGTCTCTCAGCTGCCTCTGAGCTGCCGTTTCTGAGTTACAGAATTTGTCTCACTTTTT